ACACCTACCCTCGGGATAATTTCTTCCCTCTGTTTGTTTAGTCTCGGATGGATCTATGTTTTCTTCCTTACAGCTGATTGGCTCATACAGCACTCTTGAGGGCACTTAGAGACCCATCCTCAGCTGTTGGGACAGTAGGCTTGGATCACAGTGCTTTCAGTGTCTTGGGGCCACCCAACTGCTTTCTAGCAGCACCAGACTGTCTTGGGCTGTAATTGTAAATCAATACCATGTTCTTTCCTCTTGAAAAAGCCAATGAGAAATGAACTCATTCATTCATTCAACAGTATTTTTTGGAGCACCACCTACTCTGTGCGGGGGCCCTGCTCAAAGCCTGGGAAGTAGCAGTAAACAAACAAACAAACAAAAACCCACTATCTTAAGGTGCAAATGGAGGAGACCTGGTTAATGAATGAAAACAAATACTTGTATAACTTTTTCTTTTGTTTTCAGAGTAAAGGGTAGAAACAAGGACTGTTTTGGATAGGAAAGTCAGGAATGCCTCCTCAGGAACGTTTGGAGGAGACCAAATTGCAGGGTCACATCATGCACACGTCAAAGGGAAGGGTGGACTAGGGAAAAATGCTAAGGCATGAAGCTTGTGTTTTCAAGGAACAAGAAGAAGGCCAGTGCAGTTAGAGTATCAGGGAGCAAGGAAGAAAGAAAGAGCAGGAAGTTCACGAAGAACCCATTGTTAGGGATTTTAGGTTTTAAATGTGGTCGTGACTGATTTGTGCCTTCAAAGGATTATCGTAAGGCTTCTCTATGGAAAATTAAAACAGGAAAATCAAAGCAATAGCGGAATTGGGCAAACCAGCTAGAAGATGATTGCAATAATCCAGCTAAGACGATACTGGCTTGGATCAGGGGTACTGGTAGAATTGGCAAAAGCAGGTTCTGGGTATATTTAGAAAGTAAAGTCAATAGGATTCGTGCAGGAGCAGGTTTGGGGAGGAGGGTCAAGAGTTCTGCTGAGGACATGTGAAATTGGAAATGCCTAGTTGGCACCAGGTGCTGTCACACAGGCCTGTGTGAGTCTGGAGCTCAGCTGCACAGTCGGATCCTAGAACAGGAACTGTCAGTGTAGAGAAGGTGCTTACAGTTTTGCCTGAATTCTAGGGGAGTAGGTTGCTAGGACAGTTGGTGTGCTTTTCTTGAGTTGCTGGAAAGGTATCTAAATAATATAAATCCATGGCTACAATGTGTGTTTTCTCTCCATAATATTTGCTGAGCTCTATTTAAAAGGCGTTTATAGATTTCTGGAATATCACGTTTGCTGTCCACTTTTCCCTCTAGGAAATGCATGGTCACTGAAGTAATTTTGATTTGGATGTGAGAGTTTTTCTCCCTTGAAAAGCAGAGTTGTGTGTTGTTGAAACTTGGCCCTTTTCTTCTTTGCACCCCGGGGAGTCCTTACAGAAGCTGAACACCAGGGGGAGCTAGTTTCCTTGCTTAAACAGCGGCTGGCCCACCTGTTGGTGATTGCAGCCCTCCTTTGATTAACATCTCTATCAAAGACAAATCGGAAAACAAGTCCAGCTTCTCTTTTCTCAATGCTACTGTACTTATAGGATTGACCTTCTAGGACATAACAAGTCTGAATTGTCTTTAAATTTGTCGTTTCTGGCAACCATCTCAGGTCCCCTCCCTCCTTTGTACTACCACCTGATCACTTTCCTATCGCTCAATAAACCTTTCTTTGCTGCCCCCTCCCCCAAAATAAATAACTTGGTCATTTCAAGTAAACCTTATAACCGTTTAAAATTTTAAAAGCAATGGTCTCTGAACTTTAAATCCCTGTTAGCGAGCCTGATACTTGGGAGCTTTTTAAAATAAGCATTCATGATTGTTTCTGATTTTGAATATTTTTGAGAAAGAGTACGAAAACCTAAATGTAATAAATACCTCTAGGTGACTTGAATGGATAACTGGGCCATGGCAACCCTGACACGGGTCCTCTTTTCTATGTTATCATCAGGTATTAAGCTGCAGGAAAGACAAAAAAATGTACAAAAGGTACATTACACATTACAGGAGGACAAAACTGGTAACTTTGTTAAAAAGGCTTGGAAACATTGTATCCACAAAGGGTGCATTTGTCTTAAAAGAGCACATGATCTTAACTCATTTTTACCACTGGAATAATTTTACTTTTAGGGAGGGAAGTAGTCTTCATTTAGACTGAAACATTATTAAGTCAACAAGGTTGGAGCAGAATCTCTTTAATCCCAGGAAATGAAAACTTGTAATTAACGTGCCATCAACTGTTTGATCTTTCCTGTCTCTGGCACCTATGATCTAAAAGCCACATTGACCACAATGATCCTTTCCTATGGGTCAGGACGTTCCTTTTCAGAGAGGTGCTGCTGGTGGCCCTGAGCCTTCCAGGGTCGCAGATGCATGGAGCAGGGGGTCAGAAACTGCAGACCGCAGGCCAAATCCAGCCCACTGCCTGTTTTTCTTTCCGGACCACAAGCTAATAGGGTTTTTTTATAAACACTTTTATGTGGTTGAAAAAAAATCAAAATAATATTTCGTGATGAAATTCAAATTTCAGTATCCATCAATAAATTTTTATTGAAGCAGCCATGCTCGTGACTTTACATTTTGTCTTTGGCTGCTTTCACACTGCAGCCGTGGGGCTGAGTAGTTGTGACAGAACCCACATGGCCCACAAGGCCTTAAATATTTACCATCTGGACCTTTCCAGAACAAGTCTGCTGACCCCTGGCATGGAGAGTATGCTGTTCACTTAGAGGTTAGAGTAGCTCTTAGGACTAGTCTATAACTGGATATAGATAGTCTTCACTATTTATTACTTTTGATAGGCTTAGCTATTACTGTGTGGTGACCACGATCTCATTTCATTCATATATTTTTCATTAAGAAACAACCAAGTTCAACAAACACTTCTTGGAAATGGTTATGTGTCTCCAGGAGAGGTAAAAGATTTTGCAGAAAAGTGAAAAAAATTTATTTGAAGTGAATCTTCCTTGAGCTTTTATAACTTGAGTTGGATCAAACAACGAATGCCGAGGAGCCTATAAAAAAACTAATCAGTCTCTACATAAAAAAAGCCATACATTTATTGCAAATCTAGAAGTACCAGAATGTCACGAATACAGAACAAATCAGCAATCCTGTTTTGATTTTCTTCCAAACATTTAAAACCGGATTATTGACATACTTAAGTTGGCATATTTTTTTTCATGCAGTTAACAGAATGGACTTAGAGCTGGTTGCTCAGAGATCAGTTATAAATATTCAATTGTATTGAACATTCATAGTAAAAAATGTTGTAAAGTGCTGAAGTTATGGAAGTTTGCAAAACCGCCACATGCTCAAAGTCCTTCTCAAGCCGTGACAGAGATTTGCTACATCCACCTTGATTTAGGTGTGTCTGTTTGCGACAGACACTTTGTCGTTTTCTCCCCCACCCCCCAGAGTTTTCCAGATTGTCCTATTTCTATGGCTGATAAAATGCTATACAAAATGTAGCAGGTGGTGATGAGCTATTGCCACTTGCATTTCAGTGCAGAGAAATATTCAAGCTTGTGTGTACCTGTAACCAAACTAGGCTTGTTACATTTTTCCCCCTGAGTTGTCATAAATTAACAGTAAAGATGAATAAAAGATGGAGCAGCGAGCGACCATCACCTGGAGAGTGAGATTCAGTACATATAAGTAAGTAGTCACACTTGCCCTCTTTACAGAAAAATGAGAAAAGGAGAAATACTTATACATGTAGTGTAATTCCAAAAACAGACAGACAAACAAACAAAAAACAAACCAACAGCAACCAGTTACCCGATAACTCTGGCAACTTAGAGCAATCAAGGTTTATATACGATGTAAATCGCAACTTGTAACTTATGATGGTAAAAATACATGTCTCGGCTACCCCATGTGAAATACAGAAATGCTTCAACAGTTAGCTGTTAAAAAAAAATCAGAAATGCTTCAATGATTCAATGAAATATAATTCCGATCAAAGGAGATCCTCAAGTATTCTTAGGTGATAGAACAAATTATTTTAAAAAGCTAAGGCGGTTATTTTTTCCCCTTCAAATAGCAGAGGTGGCCTTTAATCAAATTGAAGAATCATTACAACTTGGCCCTCTTATGAGAGTGACTTTACAAGATAAGACGTATTGTTTGAGGCATTTAAAGGACTGCAAAAAGGAGGTAAAAATGATGCTTAGGTCTCAGATTTTATTTCTTTTGATTAATCATCCTAGAATAACTTAATAATAAATAGAGGTTTAAATTAAGGACACTACCATCACATATTTCTGAATAATTAAAAGCAACAGGAAACGCATTTTTGAATGCCATTCTCTATCTTCTGTGTTGAAATACTTCTGGTAATGACTGGCCATAAAAAGAAGTGGTAATCTTCACATTGATGAAGTTCAAGTTACAGATTTTTTTTTTTTTTTAATTTCTTTTTATTCGCCAAATGTTTGGTCTTAAACTGTACTTCATTCCCATGGAGTATTTGAAAAACGGAGAGGCCAATGTTTGTGAACGGAGACCTCAGGTTTTCCAAGGGGTGTTAAGCAATTTGCTCATATTTCTGAAAACGAGAAATTTTAAAAATGATTGAAGTTTTGTTTGTTTGTTTGGAGTGGCCAACTTCACTTCAGTGACCTGGGCTAGCTGTCCTTTTGTAAGACGGCCTTTTATCACATGCGAGAGCTCTTGAAAACCACTTTACCCATTCGCGTCACCATTTTAAAACTGGAATGTGAGCCACAGGGTCCTTCTTTGTATCTCTGTGTTGCTACCGAATGCAACCAGACTTACGTACAGAAGAGTGCTGGGTTGTTTTTGTTTTGGCTTAAGAAACAAGCAAAAAAGGAAAACTTAAAAAGTTAAAAAAAAAAAAAAAGGACGTTGGTGGTATTCTCATGTACATTCCCTTTAAAATGCAGATATAAAACTGGGGAGAGTGGCGAGCCCCCTGTACCTCCCTGTGTCCCCCCCCCCCCAGCCGACGGGGTGGTGGCCCTTCCTGGGGAGCCTGTCATACTGGCTCCATTTTCACGTGGACTTTATGCTCATTTTTCCCAAGGTCCATTTCGAGAAAGTCTTCGGGGATGTCCCGTGGAGCTTTCCCGCGAGGACTCTCCGCCTGTCCTTGGCCCGCAGGATGACACTGGCTCAGTCCCTGTTTACACGGTCTCACGAGCGCGAGGCACACGGCGGCCATGGACATGCCGGCCGCGCAGGAATAGAAGGCGCGGCTGTAAACCTTACTCTGATCCACCAGCAGACCTGGGGGAGAGCACGGCAGTTGTTAGCGACCCGGGCACAACATGGGCACAGCCCCGCGCTCACCCAGGCTCCCCTCGAGGGCAGAAGCTTCTCCGTGGCTTCGTCGCCTTCTCGGCTTTCGCTAAAGAGCCGGGAGCGTGGAAGGTGGGCATCTTTTCCGGACTGGGGAGAAGAAATAAGTCAGGACAAATACGGCGGAGGCCACAGTGTTGCTAGCATGTTCTTCATGGGCTAATCTGTCCTCGTGGAGAATAAAACTTGGGACAGTTAGAGGCATGCTGCCTTTTTTTTTTTTTTTAAGACTTTATTTATTTATTTGAGAGAGAGAGAGAACGAGCACGAACAGTGGGGAGGGGGGGCAGAGGGAGAGGGAGAAGCAGACTCCCCGCCGAGCAGGGAGCCCGACGCGGGGCTCGATCCCAGGACCCCGGGATCATGACCTGAGCCGAAGGCAGTCGCTTAACGACTGAGCCACCCAGGCGCCCCTGCATGCTTCTTTGAGAAGGAAATATTTTGAACAGCCTTATTATTTTCACTTGGGTTCACTTCAGGGATCTTTTAAAATGTTGTAGGGTTTCCCTCGTAATATAACTTTTGAGGACCTATTCAGGGCCAAGGTATGAAGCACACCCAAGTCCTTCCTACAAGAAATATTGTGTAGTAATCAATTAAGTATTTGCAGAGTGTGCTCTGTGCCCAGTTCCCTCACACCCTTCCTTACTTAGAAGGGCAGGTGACTTACAAAAGTCCCTCGGGGCTGCTGTACCAAAGTCAGAGGGTAATGGGGTGATACATGGACGGGGTCCCCTCTAGCACAGCCAAGGCAAGATGTTAGCAAAAAGCCCTGGGTAGCCTGGACCGCAGACGCGCGTTCTAATCCCGACTTGGTCACTCATTTACCATATGATTGTTAGCTGCCCTGCTTTGACCTTCAATTTCCTCATATGTAAGTCAAGAGAGTTGGCTCAGGTAATCTCTAATCCTGCCAGCTCTGAAATTCTATGGGACTATAAAAAGCAGTCTTTTTTTTTTTTTTAAACTCTAACAAGAAGCACAATTCACAAGGCAAGAGTAGACAAGGGTACATATTTTTTGTGTATTTAAATTACCTGCAAGGGGTGGTCCGGCCAGTCCTGCTATACTCTGAATGAAGACATACACACCAGCAGCAGAAGACATCTTCTCGATTCCCACGACATCGTCTTCGGCGAGCAGCGGAATGTGGGTACCCCCTACTGTTCCAACCATGAAACCAAAAAAGATGCTACATGACATGAGACCCCAGAATTCGGTCGCGAAAGTGAAGGCAAACAGAGACACCATCAGTAAGATGACGCAGATGAGTTCGATGTAGATCTTGCGAATGGGCTCTCTGTTGAGGACACAACCAGCTCCAATCCTTCCAAAAACTTCAGCAATGGCCATTGTGGATAACAGAAAAGCAGCTCGCTCCTGCTCAATGCCTAGACTGATGCCCAAGGGAATGATGTACAGGGAAGGTGCAAAGAACCCCAGTGTTGCAAAAAGACCAAATAATGCGTAACAGATAAAACTTCTGTCTTTCAAGATTGAGAAGTCCAATAAAGGGGCTTTCTTATCGCTGGGCTTGGAGCTGGTCTTCACCAGGATCTGCTGCATGTCGGCCTTCGGCCCCAGTTCTGTGTTGGCGTGACTAGGCACATTTTTCGGTGAGGTAGTTAGTTCTACTCCTGAGTCAATGGAGTCTATTGAGGTGCGTGTTTTCTCATTTTCGAGCATATATTGCACTTCTTTCCGATTCTCGTGGGCGGTTGCTTTCGGGGACCCTGGTCCCCTGATAATAATTGGTCTTAGCAGCGCCCCACAGACAATGATGTTCAGCTGCAGCAGGCCCACGAAGAGGAGACTGTATCTCCAGCCGATGCTGTCCTTCAGAGCCGTGATTGCTTGAATAAGGTGGGAGTGGAGAGGAAATAAAATCGAAGGTCAGAAACAGACTCAAGACCCAGGGGAGAATACCAAGCCGAAACGGGGATTCAGACTTGTCATGACTGCTGTAAAAATTTACTCAGCAATGCGAATGCAGCCCACCTGTCCTATATCCTCTATCCTCGGTGTTGATGCTCTTAGGATCCAGGGAAGGAGAAAATGGGCGCAGTGATGGTTAGCGATAAAGCCACACTTGGTGGCCCGAGGTCACCAAAAGAGATTTGGAGGGTGCGTTTTGCCAGGTGGAGGCCTAAGACATGAAATCGGCTGGTGACCTACTTGCAGGTTTGGCAAATAGCAGCCTGCAGGCCAAACCCAGTCCACCCCCTGTCTTTGATAATAAAGCTCCCCTGGAATGCAGTCACGCTCATTCGGCTGATGGGCCAAGCGGCAGCTTCTGGCCGTGACCGCAAGTCTGAGCTGTTCTGACAGATCCTCATAGTCCCCTGAAAGTCTACGGTATTTACTGTCTGGCCTTTTTTTTTTTTTTTTAAGATTTTATTTATTTATTTATTTGAGAGAGAGAGAAACAGCATGAGAGGGGATAGGGTCAGAGGGAGAAGCAGGCTCTCTGCCAAGCCGGGAGCCCGATGTGGGACTCGATCCCAGGACTCC